GGAGCAGCAATTACCATATATATATATATATTGTTTTTTTTGGTATAATAATTTGTAATATTATTCAGATCAACTTGGGCAATAATGATTTAAACGTATATTTCTATAATTAAGTTGGCAGATTATAAAATATGAAAGCAAAGTCTAATTTTTAAGGTGTATTTATAATGAAGTTTAGACCTAATCTGATAGGTATTTTTTTTACCATGCAGGTGTGCAAGGTAAAAACATATTTAATTTATGAAGAATAAATTAATAATAAATAAATAAATTTAACAAATTAAAACAATTTAAGAATAACATCCTTTAGATACTCAAAGAAGTACCTTTTTATGAACATCTATCATAAATTCTAAAATATCAATTTATGAATGAGTTCTTTTTCATACTAAACAATACCAATTTAAAACAAAACACATTATCAATAGGGTATTTTGTCATCACCGCCTATAATATTTACTTTCAGAATTTTTGTTAAAAGTGAAGTATAAATGTACTGTGCGGCCTTCAGGAGAACTCCTCCAGGCATCAGTCTCGCTTCGTGGTGGGTACTACGGTTATGAGGAATAGCCATTTCGAATAAGGGTGTGATGTGAATAATTTTATCTTGATCTTGGTATAGGTCAGCGTGAGTAAAGCAATCGACACCTTCATTCCTGCATTGCGACCCCATTAGAAAAGTGCTCTCGCTTGTTACCATAGTAGCAGGCAGCCCCAGACTTTTAGTCTGGAGGAGTTCCCCTCAAAGCCGCACAAAATATTTGGGGTCACAAATAAATACTCAAACGAAGAAAAAGAAAAATGAAACGTTTTAAAAACCTGACGAATCATTAATAAAAAGAGACGAGATTCAATGTTTAGCCGAGAGCGATTTAAAGAAACTGTGGCAAGTTTTAAATAGCAATATTTTTTTAAAAATCCTATTGATTCATCACTATTGATTCATCAGATTTTGTTAACGTTTTTTAAATTTCAATTTTGAAACCTTAGTTGGTACCCTTTTTGATTTCAGTTCTGAAAATAATTCATTAAATAAAGACATTTGATCTCAGAGCCCACTAGCATATTGAAATGCCCCAAAGATCTAGTGGTTGAAATGATAATTGATCGATTGATACTTACGTTGTCAGCGACATTGATATCAGCACCTTGACCGAGAAGTAAGCCCACCATTTCTCGATGTCCTTGGGCAGCGGCCATGTGAAGGGGCGTCCTACCCTGCTTGTCGGCGGTTTGCAATTGTTCTGTAGACCTACTCAATAGAAGGCCCGCTACCGCCAAATGTCCACCACGAGCTGCCAAATGCATGGGTAATATACCCTAGATTGTGATGAAAACATAGGATAATAAATGAGTGATTATCGATGCAATATTTATCATAAATTGTTATAAATAACAGATGCTATATACCTGCACTACTGTAGCTGCATCTGTCTGAACTCCCGAACTGTTGAGCAGAACTCGAACAACGCCTTCGTGCCCAGATTCTGCCGCCAGATGAAGAGGAGTGAAGCCATACTGCAGATGAAAAAAATAATGTAAAAAAGCACAATTTAGTTAATGAATTAATGATATATACTTTACAGTTATAAGGAATTAGTTTGCACAATATTGTGTGATTCGACACAAAAATGATATGGTAAAATGCAAAACACGTTGTCAGATGTTACAGTTAATGTATAAAATGCTAGTATTCTATAGCATGCCTAGTCATTGCGTAGAAGAGCTGAAGTTTTTTGGAAAAATATGAAATATGTTAATTATTTCATACTTTGTGTAGTCATTGTAAAGAATGTTTAGGCATTCTATAAGTATGACAAATGCTCCTCCAGGAAAATGCGGATTTCAACCATTGAGGTTCGCATATGGGGTGTACCAGAATGTCGTGTACAAATTTAGAGGGGAGGTAAAGTATATCGTTAGGAGCCATAATTACATAGGAATGCAAGGGCGGAAATTGATAGCTCTCAAGATCCACACATCTGACTTCCTCATTGCAAACGCCAATTGCCTGTGCTCAACATGAATCGGTTTGCAAACGCAGAGCGGATGTCCGAGGGTCCTGCGGATGTGTGGGGAATACTGATTACGCAGTGACCGCGAAAAGCCGCAAACGCAGACCCAGCGGTGACCAAACGCAGAGCAGAAGCCGCAGTGGCTCAGGATACAAAGAGTTCACCTTCCAATGAGGTGAACCAGGATCGAATCCCAACGATGGCTGGTCGGTATGAATTCTGCACCTAGCTCGCACCGAATACAGCGCTGACGTAATTATATCCTCAATGGTTGCCGGATCATAGGTGAGAGTCCCCTTGTCATTAGACTAACCATGGGAGGTTTTCGCTGTTTCCCTCTCCATGAAACGCAAATGCGGGTTAGTTCCATCAAAAAAAACCTCCGAGGAGGCTAATTTCTCCCAATACTTGATCCAGGAGTTCCTTTGTCTTCTGGATTGGGTTCCAAATTACAAACCTTAATTTTTTGTGTTAGATTTAGAATCAAAAGTTTTTCAGAAAAAAATAAACGTATCAGAAACTAATAAAGTTTAAAAATGGATTATATTTTCAGAACCTAAATTACACTTAATGAATATAATTTTATCGTATTCGGAAATCTTTAAAGGAGGTGTTGAGTTTGAAATTAATTAGTTTTGAAACAAAATTTACTTTTTGTATCTCAAAAGTAGTAATACTTAATCCACTTACTTTTTTCTTATTTTGAATTTATATTCTAGATTTAGTTATAGTCTAGATTATTAGTCTAGATTTAGTCTAGATTAGTCTAGTCTAGATCTATATTCTAGATCTAGTTAGAACCCACATAAGACATACAATTCTAGATCTAGTTAAATATAAACCAAATAAGATATGCAATTCTCGATCAAATTAAATGTGAACCAAATGATACATACACATTTAGAACTAGTTAAATATAAACCAATTAAGACATACGTCATCACTAAGGCTAGTATCTCCGGGTCTTTCACTGGATAGGGTGGCAGGAATCTGTGTCAGCATTTCTTGCACAAATTCAGTTTGACCGCAACTAGCAGCTACGTGTAGGGCCGTCATGCCCGTCTAATAAAATTAAAGAAGAGAAAAAAAATCTATGTAAAGGTGATAAAGCAATTAAGAATCTAAGAATTGAGTGAATTAATATTATGCATTTCGGCATAATTTTTGAGAGCAGAGAGGAGCAGCAATTACCATTGGTTTGTGAATAATAATTTTAATGATTTCGTAATGATTCTAAGGTTCTATATTTATTGATTTTAAAGAAATTAATAGAAATAATTTTAATTGACTTTTAAGCAATTCATAGCAATAATTTTTATTGACTTTATAGCAACTCAATGCAATAATTTTAATTGACTTTAAAGAAATTTATGGTAATAATTTTCATCAACTTTAAGGCAATCTATAGCAACAGTTTTCTTTGACTATAAAGAAAATCATAGAAGCGATTTTCTTAGATTTTAAAAGCAGCTCATAGCAAGGATTTTCATTGATTTTAAAGAAATTTTTAGCAGCAATTCTTATTTAGATTAAAGCAATTTGTAGCATCAATTCTCTTTTACTTTAAAGTAATTCACAGAAATAATTTTCATCGGCTTAAAAGTGATTCATGGAAACAATTTGTATTGTTTAATACAAATCTAAAGTAATACTTAGCGTAAATCAAAACGGAGCTATAATTTTCCTCTTTTAGAGAAATTTACAGCAGTAAATTTACTCTGCATGAAATTGTTTTGAAAATTTAAGTGTTTTTCTTTTAAATGCTGTATATATAATTTTTCAATGATATTAACCTGATTAAATGTACCAATTTGTTTCCTCAGCAATTTAAAATTAACGTTTCCGATAAAATTTAATGCTATTTTGACAGTTTGAAACATCACTCGAATGAATCGTAACAGGATAGAAGCTTTTTTTAAGGAATATTTAATTGAAAATGTCTATTTTAGAGTAGGTTAAAGCAACAAAGGTAGATATAACACAGAATTAAAGTTAAAAATATAAAGATTTTGATTATGTTTTTGATCCATAAAATCAAAAAAGTGCCTTTTAATATGCTGGTTAACGATATAAATGGACATAGTTAAATAAAATTATTTTCTATAGATAAAATCACAAAAAGTGCCTTTTAATATGCTGGTTAACGATTTAAATGACATTGTTAAATAAAATTATATTCTATATATAAAACCAAAAAAGTGCCTTTTAATATGCTGGTTAACGATATAAATGACATTGTTAAATAAAATTATATTCTATAGATAAAAAAATTTCATTCTCACTTTTTTACTCGTGATTCTCCAAGATACAGATGACTTTAAAGTCTGCAGAACTTTTACATGTCCGTCTTTGGCAGCTAAATGTATAGCGGTGTAACCATCCTAAAAAAAGATAATCATTTTTTTAGAAATTACAATTACTACAACTTAAAAAGTTTACATGGATTTTTAATTTCAAAAGTTTAACTTTTAAAAATATTTTTTATACGCTGACATGGATAATCTGGAACATGTTTTCAAATATTTAAGCTGATTGGAATAAAAGTGGGAGAACCATTGTAAAGTGTTTTAGTGAACTCAACCAGTCGGTAACAAAAATAATGTCTTCTCAGAAACAATTTTTTTTAAAGTTGCAATCTTTTCTCTTGTTTTTTTTTTTAAGGTAAAAATTAATGCACTAATTTTAACAAAATTTTGCACACTCGTTCTAAATATAACTGACTAGTAGATGAAAGGATTATACTCCTTAAATTGCAAATTATTTTACAAAGCAATCCTTTTTTTTTTAGCTATGGATTGCCCATTGATCGAACTTCTTTTGAAAATTAATGCACTATTTAAGAAAAAAATTGCCCATTCTTTCGTGATATAACTGACTAGTAGATGAAAGGAATATTATACTCCTTTGATCACAAAATATTTTACGAAGCAATTCTATTTTTTTCCTGTTATGAAGCCCCAAGCGAGCGAACTTCTTTTGGCGGAAAATAAAAATAAAATTTAAAATTTTTTTTAAGAAGTTAAAAAAAATCGACAAATTAATTTGAAAGCATTGAAAAATGAATTTTTTTCATTTTTTTTTCAAAAGCACTTTTAAAATTAGGTTTTATGTTAGGTAGTTGAACCCATCGAGTCTGCAATGACAGCATAATGGTAGCTTATAGCGTATCCATAAGTTGAAATTGAATAAAATAAGTTAAATTATTGTTTTTGAAAAAGAACTGTTATTAACTATGAGAATTATCAGCGAAAAACAATTTATTTGCTCTTTAATTTGGTTAGTTTATTTTGAATTTTGAAGTTAAAAGTATTAATGAAATGAGAGGTATTAATGAAAATATTAATTTGCATGTCATTTTCGTAATTTACTTAATACATTGCTATTAAAATATTTTTTCTTCTTAAATAAATCTTAACTCTCTTCAGCTTTATTTAAATTTTGAAAAAATTGAAAAAAATTGATGGCAAGGATTTCAATCAGTATCTGAGAAGGTAACTTACAGCATTTTCTTCTGTGGCAGATGAACCAGCTTCTAACAATACTTTCACAACTTCTTCATGTCCGCCGGAAGCTGCCAGATGGAGGGCCGTATTGCCCGTCTGTCAATACACAAACAACCAACATTCAATAAACAACGACAACGTGTAACAACATTAGTTAAATAATGAGAAAAAAATGCTATATATTCACCAAATTTCGAGCGGAGGTCACCATAGATCTGTTAAATTTCATGAGCTCCTTTATGACGGCGACACTTCCTTTCATGGCAGCTATGTGAGCACACGTAAATCCATTCTGAAAACACAACACCACAATATAAGACTAAAATAGGAGTTCCCTCATCTTCTGAGTGGGGCTCAAAATTACGAAGTTGAATATTAGAAACAGCGCACATCCGAAATTCTGACTGGCTATTTATTCAACGTGATAAACTAAAATATTTCAAAATGAGATAAACTATCTAGATTAACCAAAAATTACTACTCTTAGTATTTATTTTAAAAATTACAGACATATAGGGTGACTCATTACTGTTTAAGAGACATAGAACAAAAGCTTTTCAAACTTTGACGATTCATTATTGAAGTCAATGAGTACTATAGAAAGATTAAAATGATATGAAAACATCTTATTTGAGGATGATGCTTTAAAGCTGTTGATGACAATAAGGGAATTCATTCCTGTCTCCTTCCAAACAAACAATTAGGACTTTGAGTACTTTAATCCATCCTTAGAGCTTCTCTGTCCCAGAATTGAGATAATCCTTTTTATATTCTGCTTCTCGCTCCCGTAAAAATAACGGGGTGAGATTTAGCCCGCTTTTTCTCGCTCCCGTGATATTGACGGGCTTGAGTGTTCAGTAGTAACGCGCCAATAAGAATAAAACTAACTGTTGATAATATCAGAAGATAGGAAAATATACCAACCAAGAGTGCTTTGTTTATATAAGGGGTAACGGTAAAGGTTAGCGTGGGGTAAAGAAGAGAAGTTGACCCCGAGAAGCTATTTTTTTTGTGTTATGCATTCGTTCATTTGATCTTTTTTATCGAATTTATTCGTAGTTATTTATACAGAGTTCATTAATTTGGTTATAAATAAGTACAGAAATTCAAGTTTATCGGCGATTTCTTACAATTGGTAATTTCGAAATCCCCACCCACCTTCTTGCCGAAAACTGATCTGAATCAAAATAATTTCAAGTAATAAGCTAAATGAATATCTTCTTATGAATGCATTTCAATCCCAAAAATATTGTCACATAATATAATCAGAAAAAAGGTGGCCCTGTAAAGAGCTAAATGCAGTTCACTTGATTTCGGATGCAATAAATATTTTATTTCGAAGGATGAAGTAAGTGAACAACAGTATTAATTCTATCATTTCAAACATTGGACCTGCAGAACTTTTCGACTTCAATGAGATGATTCAAAACATCAGAAAAATCAAGGTGATAAAAAAAACTTATGTACTCGTGTATGAACTTTCAAGCGCCAGACAGGAAGTAACCTATTTGCCGGCAGGTAGAATTAAATCGTGAGTCCACTAGTTTTCTGAATGACCTTGCATATAAATAGAAGATCATAACGCTTTACGAAACCCGTTATATTTTTTAAAAAAACAGCACCTTTGTTTAATAATTTAATCTTATTGTGAATGCTTGACCTTCAACTCGCTTAATTTGTTAATTTAAATTAATAAAAAAATATGCTTTTTTCTTAAAAATATTTAAAAAAATAATTTTATTTGGTACTTATCGGTTATAGGGATTATGTGTTGGCGACTGTTTTTTTGAGGTTGTCGCCAAGTCGAGCATTAGTCCATGTAACCAAAATGTGCCAATTTTAAATGCTCGCTGCATTGGCAAAAAATATCAATATATTTAATAATGTATCGCTATGTTTTTCTAATATAACTAATTTATGTAACTTTTACATTAGTCAATATGTTCAATACCCGAATAAATTTTATCTATCACATTAATATCGTATTTAATGATTATCCAGGGTGCGTAATAGCGTTTCTAAAAAGTGCTTAAAGGTGCTTATTTTCGATTTACGTTATTTAAAAGCTTTTAAAGGTGCTTTTTTTAATTTGTGGTTTGAAAAAGTGCTTACTTTTCTATCTTTTTAAAAGAGATTTTTTTTCTTTGCCGTGTCGATTGTCGTTCTAAATTACAAAAGTGCATGATTTTCACAATTTTCTCTAAAATATTTATCAGAAACAAGTTATTTTATCATGATTATGTAAAGTTTTTGAATTTTACTGATTTTATGTTTATAAATTAAGAACTTTAAACGATGGGAAAAAAATAATTTTTATTCCTGCACAGATCCTAATTATGATTTTTCGTTGGAAGGTGATTAAAAATATTTTTGAGTGCTTAAAAAGTACTTAAAATGTGCTTATTTTTTGTTGAAAAATCTGCCTACGCACCCTGTAATCATTGCATTACTTTTCGCTATATTATATTTTCATACATTATATTATTAGTAATGGTCATGATATTATCCCTATGATATATTATGCTATCCACAATGACCAGGATATTATCGCTTTCGATAATTATAGCTATCAATAATGAAAGCGAAATTTTGTATTCGATGTGTATTGTTATCATTAATTATCACGATATTTTCGTTTTCAATATGTATTGTTATCAATAATAAACATATTTTTCAATTTGGCATGTACTGCTATCAATAATGATCACGATATTTTTCCTATTCGACGTGTCTTGTTATCAATAATGAACATGATATTTCCTCATTCAATATGTATTGTTATCAATAATGAATGATGTATTTTTCGAATTTGATACGTATTAATGATCACGATGTTTTCCTAATCGGATATGTATTCTTATCAATAATGAACGCGATATTTTCGTATTTGATTTGTATTGCTTCAATAATGATCATGATATTTTTGTTATTTGACACGTTATATATTGATCATGATTTGATACGTTATGTATTGTTATCATTAATGATAACAGTAGCGTTGTGTTTTTTAAACACCAATGTGTATGTTGTAATATCTTGCCAAAGGGAAACCATCCAATCGGCGATTAAGTTAGCTAAAATTTTATATCTCTTTAGATTTAATAAGAAGTTTTTTCTGCCCCCCCCCCCAACTAAAGATATCATTTTCCTGCTCCTCTTTTCCAGGTATCTAATCGAGGAGTCATCATGCTTAAATTTTCAATACTTGTTAGCAATGGAAATCTTTTTATTTGTATTAGTTACATAAGTGCTCTATTAAGAGGCCGTGATGCGGGGTGCACAATTTAAATGCCTAAAATGTTCAAAAACTTTTTTTTTTCAATTTGCATTCAAATTTGAAAAGAAAAAAATCAATTAAAATAATTATGAAAATCTTTTACAATGCTATATATTTGATGACAGAATATAATCTGCATTTTTCTTGAGTAATTTTTATAAATAGACGTTAAAACACCATCCGAATTTCATATTTCAAACCACTTTTGTTTCTTCTCATTCACATCTGGCAAGTCTTGAAAATGGACGCCAGTTTTCGAGAGCTTGAAACACCTCGACTAATATTTCCTATTTATGTATTTTTGAATCGAATATTTAATCAAGTAAAACTGCATTTTTTAATTAAATGCATTTTTTTTTATCATTTATGAACTTGAGACACAACTTATTAATTTTGAATTAGGCTTTAAGATCAAATTGATGTCAAAAATAATATAAAATGCTGTCATTAGTCAAACATTACCGCATTAGCCATAGAGACTAGTTCAGGCTTGTGTCGAAGGAAGAGTTTTACCACTTCTGGATGATCGTTCTCAGCAGCTAATAGAAGAGGTGTTTGGCCAGTCTGAAAATAACAACAATTATATTTAGAAACTACAGAATATTCTAGCAGTCATTCATAAACAGCAGAATAATATGAATAATATAGCAATTATTCGTAAACAACAGTAAGCATTATGATAGTCATCTAGAAACGACAGAATATAGTTCGTTCAGCAGGAGTTAGCATTTGGCTCCACCTACTCATTTCATCACGGGAGTAAGAAGAGAAATATCTCCGCTCTTGAAATTGAGACAACCCTTAATGCAAGTCAAACACAAACAGTTAATTATTTTTCAGTCACTTAATTCGCTTTATCATCTGCTATTATACTTTTCGTTTCTCCAGACAGTCAAATATATTTTAAATTTAAAAACTGCTGTTTTCCCAGCAAAATGTCTCAAATAGGACAAACTATTCACTTAGAAGAGAGAAATATCATAAAAAATGGAGCGAAATATAATCAAATTTATTAAATATTTTATGTTAAAAAATTAATTTTTATGTACAATTAGTTAACATCGATGGCTCTTATACATAGTCAGTGGATTTTTCTTAGATAGCAAATCAATTCATGTACTCATTGCAGCAAAACTTTCATAAAGATTTCAGACAAGTAGAAATCATTTTAATAAAGAACGAAAAATAAGGTACTGCACACGGCAGCTACAAAAAAATTAATAAATGATTTGTAGAGCAAACTGAGAGACGAGCGTGGTCATTTTATAATCCCCCTAATTGAGAAAACGGGCTGTAAAATTAAGGGCTGTAAAAGGCCGAAAATTACTTCTAATTATTCATGAAAAACAGAGAGCATGGAAAACTTAGCTTCTAATAAAAAAGGAATGAACTAACAGGTGTCTAGTTTTTTTAGGAATCAATAAAATGACCCCAGCACGTCCTGCCGGGTTAATCATTATTTACAACAATCGTTTAGAAATAGAAATCAAAACTACTGTAACATTCATTAACTATAAGAGTATAGTATTGTATTAGAGTATAGTAGAATATAGTATTGTATATTATAGTATATATAGTACAGGATAGTATAGTATATATAGTACAGGATAGTATAGTATATATACTATTGTATAGTATAGTATTTGATACTATATAATACATATAGAAATGATAATTATTCTGAGATAAAAACATTAAAATAATTAAATGTTTAATAAACGATACATAAAATGGTACTTGCATTGTCAATAGCGTTGGCGTCTGCCCTGAGGTCCAGTAGGACGCTACAAACGTCCAGTTTACCATTCTCGGCCGCTAAATGTAGAGGTGTTCTTTTTGCCTAAATAAAGAAACAGGTGTTACCATTTTTAGCTATTCAATAAAACTGAAATAAAAATAGTGGCATGCCTATGAGGGCAATCAAGGAGTCCTGAGGATATTATTCATTCAATTCTAAATAAACAAGTTGCAATTTAATTTCTAGGCTAAAAATTTTATTATGTAAAAAATTTAATTATTATAGCGTTTTTAACAATGTAGATATTTAGTATAAATATTGTTTTTTTTTTTAAGTACTGAAGTAACCTAAAAAAATGAATTAGTCTGATCTAAATACAAATCTGAGTAAGAGCGTCTCCATTTAATAACACTCTAAGAATGCATACTTACTTTGCATCTCCTTCTATAAAGTATTCATTTTTCTTATTTAATGCCTTACTTGAAACAAAGGAGATATTTTCCTCCACTTATGTGTAGAAAGGGAAGATTTTTTGTTTAATAATATTAAACTACATATTTTGTGAATAGAATAGGCTCATCAAAGTTACGCGATTTCGCCATTTTTCATACGTCTCCTCTCTCCGTTACTATGGTTTCGGAAAATTTAGCTTTTTCCTCACATGGCAGTTCGTTCCAATAAGAAGGTGAAATATAGTAGTGTAGGGAAAAAGCATGATTTGGCGTAACAATGATTATGGAAAGCATGGACAATGGGTAACTTTGAGAAGCTTATTCTACTTACAAATAGTTTAAAATAAATAGATTTTGTGTTTAATAATATTGAGTTAGAAAAGGAAAGAGTTAGTATTTAATAATATTACATTAGAAGAGGAGAGACTAAGTTTTCAGTAATAATAATTTAGACGAGGAAAGATTTAAATTTTAATCATATTAAGTTGAATGAGGAAAGATTTAGTGTATAATAATATTAAGTTGGAAGAGGAAAGATTTAGTGTTTAATAATATTAGGTTAGAAGATTTAGTGTTTAATAATATTAAGTTAGAAGATAAAAGATTTAGTGTCGAACAATATTAAAGTAAAAGGGGAAGATTTAGTGTTAAGCGATATTAATCTATAAGTGAAATAATTTGAATTTAAATTTTTTCAGCTATTACAGCTACTCTGCAAGAAAACTTGCCAGTTCTTTTTTTCATGAAGATAAAAAAAAAAATTTGGAAAAATAATTGTGTTACATAATTGTTTTTTCTCTCCCCTGCTTTAATAACATTCATCACTGAAAATCCCTGGCTATGTTTGTAGCATTGTTATATTGTTGCATAAATACGTCATTTTTAGTTTCTTGTAAATTGGAGGAACAAAACTTGTCCGTCCACCCTAATATAAAGCATCCAGTTTTAACCCGGACTACCTGAATCATGCTATTATTAGATTAAAATTTAAGCGGTAGCAAGTACCCTCAAACTTTTTCTATAATGTTCTTTTTCATCAACGAATTATTAACCAATGCAATATAAGGACTTTGTTTTAAAAGATAAGAAACACCTTACGGTAACGGAAGTAGAGAAGTTAAGCAAAGATTACTTCTTCGGATGTTGCACTCCAAGAAATAAAATTCAAGCTTTTGAGGATTCAGCAGTCCTTGAGCTGTATTTCTTTAATTTTGAGAATCATTTTGTCTCGAAATCATTTGATTTGTGACGAAGCGCGAACACCTAAACAACTCAAACTCAACTCGAAATCTCATCGTTATCTCACCACGTAAAATCTACGAAAATAATTCTTAATTTGACGAAACTAAAATGATGAAATGCGAAATATTTCTTTACTTTTGACGAAATGCGTTTCCTCCAACATGTGACGATAGTTATTTCGTCACTTGGATGAAATGTTTACACTTGGTGTATATATCAGGAAACGGCTTAGCGAAACACGTTGAAAGTTTCGTGAAATTTAAGTATCCTTTTTTACAGTGTGAACTTCAAATGTTATTAATCTTCTCTTAATAAATAAAAAAATTTGTAATTTTCAAGTCTTAAATATTAGAAAAGTCGGTGAAAAATACTGACCAATGTGAGGGCGTCTAAAGTGGCACCGTACTGTTTGACAAGTTTCTGTACAATCTCTGTATATCCATTTCTGGCGGCTAGATGGAGAGGCGTCATTCCCTTTTTGGAACGAGCGTTGGCGAAAGCTTTGTGCTTTAGAAGAATATCAACCACTTCCCCGTGGCCAAATTCGGCCGCCAAATGCAAAGCAGCTTTGCCACCCTAGAAATACATAACATTAGCATTGCAATAAAACTGATTGAAATAATTCTACTTAATCTTAACTATAGCTCTATTTGGTTACTTTAAGAGCAATGATGTTTAATGCTTGGAAGCTTGGAATGTTTTAAAATTGTAGAGCAGTTTGAAGCGATTTTATTTATATAAATTTGGAATATGAAAAAACTGCATTATAATTTCGGAACAGTTAGGTTTAATATCATTATGAATTTGTAATAATCTGTTATAGTTTTGAAGTAGTTGAAAGTGACTGTACTATACTTTAGAAGCAGTTCGGAGTAATTTTATTGTAATTTTACAGCAATTTGAAGGACTTTTATAATTATATAGTTTCATAACAACTTAGTAATTTTGGAGCAATAAAATATCGATTCTATAATATTTTTGCGATTGTATAATATTTTTCGAGCATTTTAAAGACGCTCTATTTTAATATTGAAGCAACTGTAATGTAGTTTTGAAGTTAACTGGAGTGTTTCTGTATTTTAGCTATGAAGTGATTTGTATTTTAGTTTTGAAATAATTTGTATTTTAGTTTTGAAATAATTTGTATTTTAGCTTGGATTTATTTATAATTTTGGAGCAGTTTAAAGAGTCCTTATTATAAGCTTAGAGTAATTTCAGGTTGCTGTATCACAGTTTTGTAACAGTTTAAAACGGATTTATTTATAATTTTGGAACAATTTAAAAGACCGCATAATAATTTTGAACAAGTTTAAAACGACCGTATCTTAGTTTTTTTAACAGTTTGAAACAACAATCTTTCTCTCCTTATTCTAAAAAGTCCTTGCATTTTCATCTGATATGGAATAATTATAAAAATGTAAGCACCTTATCTAGTTGGACAGTGGTCAAAATTTTGATTGACAATAAATTCCTAGAAACATTTAAATATTGAACAATTCTGAATATAGAGGAAAGAAAACGATTGAAACATGACTTAACACCAAGCACAGTGCTCCAGATGAGATTTGAGCACTCTAGTTAGTGAGAAAGTAATTGGAATTTTTATTAACAATCTATTCTATTGGGTGAAAAATGACCTCAATATCTCTCGAATTTTAATCAGGTGAGAAGCTTGCTTTCGCAAAGATTTAAGTGTTCCAGCTGCACGGAAAGTGGTCAAAAGTTTTATTGCAAGATTCTATTCCATACGAAAGATAGAGTAAAAAGGAATATAGTAATAATGTAGTAATATAGTAATAATAATTATCCCACTTACTTCATCGAACACATCTACTCTGGCAGAATTCTGCAGTAAAAGTTTCACTACTTCAGGATGGCCTGTCTGACAGGCATACAGTAACGGAGTCCATCCATTCTGTGAAAATAAAGAATTGGTCATGATTAATGAAAATGTTGAAAGATCAAGATTTCCAGGAAGGGTTATGAATCAAAGAAACCATACCATAGCTATTCGATTGCAGGCACCTTGCAGCATGGTTTTGTCCAGTTGATTCAGAATTTCATGCAATATATCTGCATTGCCTTCTTTACTGCAATAATGTATACTTGTCATGCGATACTGATAAAATAACAGAGAATATATGGATTAGAAATTTTCATTTAGTTGCAGTTGTGTATATATATATCTGCTTGAGTTAGTGCTCACCTCTTTGTTAGGTACGTTGACTTCCCCACCATACTGTAGCAAGAGTTTGACGAGGTCTTTGTCTTCTGTTGGATGATGAGCTTGGCTTTTGGAAACCAAACTTGCGTAGTGGAGGACTGATTCTCCTTTCTAGAATAAACACATTATTAATGAGAAACACATATAGGGTAAGCCAACTAGTGCAGGAACACTACCCAGTGCAGGAACACTACCCAGTGAAGGAACACTACCCAGTGAAGGAACATTTCATATATATTGATTAAAAATAAGAATTTGAAAGTTTTTCTTTAGATTGATTGGTAACAATAGCTTACTGCCAAACAATAGGAAGTCATCTAGCAATGTTTTGGATTACCTGGTCAAATAGACTTCTCTGAATTTGTTATTATCTCTGCAACACCTTGTTTCTTTGAAAAAATTATAAGGCGAGTGTTTGTATTTATATGTCTGAAGTGGAATTAATTGCATGTAATAGTCTTATTTTTCTTAGTGTGAAAAGGAGAATTTAAAATATAGTTATTGAAGTTACGTTTTATTTTTTTAAGTATCATAGCATAATAAAGTACTGAGATAAGGGGATGTTTATTCACTGGATCACCAAACGATGAAAAACCAGTGAAGGAACAAGTGTTTCTTTACTGTTTTTTTTTCTAAGTTAATGAGAATAAAAGATAAACTTTAATTTTTTTGAACCTTTAGTGATGTTCCACATCAAAAGTATGTTAAAAATACGAAAAACAACTTCTAACCAGAGAGGGAACAGGCATGTTCCATTACTGGACATAGATTTTCTAGTGAATGAACAGTATGTGTTAATATGTTGACACTTTAATTTTCAATTCATGATTACAAAAAAAATTTAACATTTTCCAAGTATTTATATGTTATAAATACAAGAATAGGCTTGTTTTTAGATATTTGTATAGCATATAAATTCATAAAAAGCATTAAAAAATAACCAAAATTAAGTGTTCCTTTACTGGGCAATTTTGTGTTCCTTCACTGGTAAGAGCTGTTCCTTCACTTGGTCTTCCTACTACTTGTTATTTGAACCTCCAAAACTTTAAAATAATATTGCGTAAGTTCTCTATAATTTTTTTTACATAGTTTGCAATTAGTAACAAATATGTTGACACTGTCATTTAACTAAAACTACGAATTTTGAAATTAACATGATTTTTTAAAAGGCAAGCGAAGCTAAAGTGTTCCTTCACTGGTTAGTTTGCCTTAATTGTAAGCTAAGGTTGAATAACAAGGAATATAATCCAGAAGAGAGCAGATACTGTGAAAGGCATTTAAAAATAAATAACACAGAGCGGCGATAATTAACAAGCAAAGTGTTCTATGTATTCTTGTTGCCACACATCCTGTAGTAATGTTATATTTTACTGTAATGTGATATAATAAAAATGATGTGAATCCTATATTCAGCCCAGCTCAAATGCTAAATTTAGATAATCTTTACATTGAAAGGTAAACATTTGTCTACGACAGATTTTATCAAAATCTTTTTGGTGGGCGTCGATTGCGTTACATCACACAGCGGATCAATGTGAGGTCAGCGTAAGCTGACCAGCGTCCTCACGAATTTAAAGAACTGGTAGTGAAGTTTCTATATAAATACTTGTAAACTAATTGCTTCTTCTTTCAAAATAAATATTCTTGGAACAGAGATTTCTTTGCAAGGATTCTATTACAGAGGTAATTTTTTTCAAAAGTTAAGGGTGAGTTTTCGAATGTACTATTAGAATTTTCGGTACCATTTTTTGTTTTTGTTTTTTGAGGACGATGTTCGTCTTAGATTTGCGTAATCATCAGGAACTCGGATGACATTGATTGGACCTTGTATTTCAGCAGTTGATTGTTCCTCTTCTTCTGACTTCTTCTCTTCCTGGATGATTGGCGCCATTTCCTCTGCAGAGGATTAAAATAGTGATTTAATGTCTTTGGATCATCCTCATGGATGTTTCTCAGACCGTCGCCAATAGCCCATTCTGCAGCTGTAGTGCGACGAAAACCAACAATAACAACTGGATGACTGGTACATTTCGCTTGTAATATGGTTGAAGATGATGCACGTGAACAGCTTTTAAAAATCTATTTCGGAGATCGATAGACTTGATAATAATGTAAATTTGTCACAATATTAAAGATTAAAAAACTTATTAATTACTTCACTACTGCCATTAATGCGAAATGGTAAATTGAAATATAATTTTTTTTGGTTATTAATTTTCTTTTAAGGATTCCAAAGAAAAAAAAATTTAAACATTTTGAGAATTTTTTTTAAAATTATTATTATTTATTTAAAAAATATTAAAATAAATTTCTTACAAATTGGGAAAGATTATGCTTTCATCCAAATTAGGACACAAAGTATTATTAATTAGCGCTTTGGATTGAATCTGAATCCCGTTTCAACAGTAACTCATGTATTTTTAGCCATGTAAATCTTCTGTTTCTAACAAAATGAAATGCTAAGCAATCAAATTTAATGAAATATAATTTTTGCTTCACATAAAGTTGTTAAATAGATCATAAACTATTCATCAAGAAGGCTTTATTAAAAAAAAAAATTATGACTTGGCTTTTAACAAGCGGTAAAATTGTATTAGGTTAAGCCTCTCAGAGCAGTGGGAACTGTTCTTTTGTAAATAAACTTAATCTATTAATTTTTAACAGTGTTATTTAGATATAGACACAAACAAGCAGTTTTAATTTGAACATTAAAACGACAAATTACGTTATCCTCTCTCTATGTGTTAGAATATTATTATCAAAATTCAATCACTGAAATTTTTAATATTATCAATATACGGCAAAATAAGCTCACTTCATTTTGGGCATTTACTAATATAGCACCATTGTCTTCTGGGTGCTGCTTCCTCCAGTGGTCCAGCAGGCTACGGGCCACGGCATAATGGCAGTTTCGGGCCGCAACATGGAGAGGGGTCTCGCCGCTCTAAAACATACAATGTAGCAATTGGAGAAAAAAAATTTCTATAAAATTTATCAACACTGTTTTTGGGAGTAACTTTATGTTAAATTTACAAAAAGAATTTCAATTTATTTAATTTTCCCAAATTCAATAGATATTGGATATTTTATCTAGTTGGTTGTAACAAGTAAAAGACATTTAAGGCCGTCGGTTTCACAGGATTTATAGTAAAGAAAAAGACAGAACTATACATTTCTTTGATAAAATATATTAAATCGATTATGCAATTAGGATTTTTAGAAAGGAATAATTTATTTCAAAAGAATAATTTTCTCTTTGAAGAATTTTAACTTATAAAAATATTATTTTTGCATAATTTAGGTAAAGAGAATTTTTCAGAGTTATGTAAATCAATTTTCTTCAGTTAAAAAGATGAGGACCATTCCATTATTTACGAGAGTCGTATTTGCTGAGTTATAAAGCTTTATAACACATTAAAAGTTAGAGCAGTTATGAAATAATTCTTGTGAAAATAAATCTTGGCGTCAATTACACTCTCTCCAACTTTTTTGAAACTTTAAAAATTACCTTTTACGGATTTAACAATTTGTGTAATGTCTGTAATACCCAGTTTTTTGATTTTTTTAAAAAAAGTTTAGAATAAATGAAGTTTATTAAAAATTAGAAAAAGTAAAAATAACATCAAGACATATTTTTAAAAAAAATATTAGAACTACTTGATTTTTTTAACTGAGTTAAATACTTTTAAACTCTGCAATTATGACAATCCTAAATGTTGGAATCACCACCTCAAAGCCAAATTAAAAAGAGAAATAATTAAAGAAACTGTTGAAGAAATCTATCAAAAACTATTGAACACTTAACTATATTGCTTAAAATTTTTGTGAGAAAATCCGTGGAAGATACAAAAGTTATCGAAAGATATTTCTCCCAATCTAGTAATGTGAACTTTATTTTCCACATGTTCTGAAATGTATTGTGTTGTCGAATTATAAGCTATCATCAGCAATTTAAGAAGAAAAAGATATATCTCGAAATTTCATTTAAAATTCAAGATGGCGACTGAGGGAGAAATATTTCTAAATAGTTCAAATGAAATTGGACCATTGAACTTACAGCGGACTTTTGTTGGACATCTGCTTTATCCTGAAGGAGAAGCGCTACAGTATTGAGGTGGCCGTGACGAGCTGCGAAATGCAGTGCAGACTCACCATCCTGTAACAGAATTACATCCAAATATTTTAAATTAGTTGCAAATATTAATACAATCCTAATTACTAATTTATTAATTGTAAATCGTGCCATAGATAATGTCCGATAAGAAGTAAATTAAAATTACATTAAGGCTTTTGCGTCAGTTTTAAATTATTAAAAGCAAATTACGATAAAGCATAAAAAATGAACTGCTATAACTAATGTAAACGTATAATAAGTAATGCTTTGACTAAATTTATTAATCACGAGGTGATTTATAAATAAGTGTCCGATCACAATTGTGTACTTGCAACTCGAGAAGAGGATCACTGATTTACAGACACGTGACCTATGACCTCAGCGCCAGCTAATCGTTTATAAACAAGATGGCGTCTATAAATTGAGCTAAATTTTCCATATAGGTTAGAATGTTAAGTAACGTGAAGTTAATTAAATACAACGCCGCATCTCACATCGAATTTGTTAAGTTATAGTTCGTTTCTGTCTAGGTCGTCTTACTTAACTTTCTTTATTATTTGTTTATGTATTTTATTGTAACCATGATACATTTTTGGTATGTGTACCTGGAAACTTCGATGCATAATTGGTTTGTTTATATTCAACATAGCTTCGTGTCTGTCTTTGTGTGAAGTAAGAAATATATAGTGAAAGAATATAGAATGTGCCATTTAAGGGGATTGATACTTGGCGGGCTTAACTTACTCGAAATAGAATGGAAAAAACAGTTGCTTGCGTAAACAAATGACATGTTTCAACAACCAATTAGAATCAGGATATCCACACTCCGTTACCATTGGATACCTGCAAGTGACGTCATCGCAAGTAAATCGTGGTATTTGTCTATTCAGAAACAAATCAGGTTTGACACACACGCGTGACGTCGCGGATAGATCACGGACAGATATTCAATTAAATTCGATTTAAACCACGTGGTTAGTGGGTATAATCACTTTATTTCTTCTAGAGTTGCAAATATCCAATCATGTAAAGTTTTTTGCTATGGATTATTAAATAATCGATTTGAACTATTACAAGTTAAATATAATAATGTTTATAAGCCTTTATAATTGATATTGCTAACGAATTCATTTCTTATAATTTACGACAAAAATTACTTATTCGTTTTAAACTTTGTTTTAAGCTATTAAAAATTATGATCTCAAAGATAGAAATTAATTTGCGCCATACTATCTAAATCGGTTACTTTTATATTGCGTCAAAAAATACCAAGAGCCATCAAACATACCGTTTTTAAATATACTCAAATATTTGAGTTCAAGTACTGTAAAAATCAGAAATTTGAAAGAAAGGAGAAAGATACGAAATTTTGAAAACAAAATTAAAAAGAAATTTTTAAGGGTTTTTACATTGGTCATTGTTGTAAATATTAGCAAAATAAAGGTGACAGCTATTTTAAATACTATTTAATATGAACTTAGAAATAAAAAAGGAAAAGAACGATTAGAAAAATAAACTCGGAATATACAAGAAGTAGAAGTTGCCAGATTACGAAAGTGCAACTCTACAAGATAAACAAAAATAGCGTGAGGCTCGCTGATAGCATGCTCGACTTATAACAGCCTCCTTCGAGCATGAAAACTGTAACTAGTCAATATTGTCACTCAAAGAACTGCAGTCACACCAAGTAATGAGCATGAACTGAGGTGCTGGAAGTGCCTTCGTCAGAATGTCTGCTCGCTGCTCATCACTTCTGACGTAACCTAATTCAAAATTTCCTTTCGAAAACTCATCTTGGACAAACTTGTATCTTTGATCGATGTGCTTAGTGCGAGCGTGAAACATCGGATTTTTGATGTATTTGATGGTACTTTGATTATCAATCTGGAGGATTGGTAATGAGATGTCGCTGGCTATCTCGGCAAACAGGCGCTTTAACCATATCAGGTCTTTTGTCGCATTCGCTGCTGCCATGAACTCTGCTTCTGTTGTAGAATTAGATATAGCCTCCTGTAATTTACTTCTCCAAGTAATTGTACCTCCACCGTAGAAAGATATCACACCTGTGCGAGATCTCCGAGTTTCAGCACAACTGTTGTTATCTGCATCACTAAACAACATAAGGCTTCTATCATCTGTATTGCTATATACGATGCCATGTGCAACGGTAGTACGAAGGTACCTGAATGTTGTCTGCACAATTTCCCAATCAGTTTCCGTGGGATTGTCTAATTTACGGGATACTAAACTTACTGCATAAGCAATGTCGGGTCGGGTTCCCATCGCTAAATAAAGCCAGCTACCTACTGCTGATCTATATGGAATGTGACTGCTAAGAGGATTTGCCTCCTTGATCTTCGACAAAGGTCGGAGGATCTTGCAAAGGTACAAAGGTCGGAGGTACAAAGGTCGGAGCATCTTGCATATACGTCCACTTCCGTCATCATATCCTTCGGGTTGATACATGTATATATCCTCAGCCAAATCACCATAAAGGAAAGCTGTCTCCACGTCAATTTGAAATAATTTTAATTTCTCCTTAGCTGCTGTTGCAATTAGAGCTCGAATAGTGTCGTAGCGACACACTGGACTAAAAGTCTCCCCGTAGTCGATATCTTTCGTCTGCGTATATCCTTTCGCGACTAATCGAGCCTTAAATCTTTCGATAGAGCCGTCTGGGTTAGTCTTCACTTTGTAAACCCAGCGATTTGCAAGAATCTTTCTTCCTTCAGGTGGTTCAACAAGTTTCCACGTACCGTGCTTGTTTTGCGAAGCCATCTCTTCGTCCATGGCTCGTTTCCAGTTGACATGCATCGAAGACTTCATAGCTTCTTCATATGATTGGGGTTCTGTCAAATTCAGGATGCTGCTGTAGACTTCATAGTCGTTAAATCCTGGTGGGCGGCGTGTAGTTGATCGGTCACGCAATCCATGCGTCGTCATCTGTGATAGTTCATCTTCTACATTGCGAAGATTTTCACCCTCCTGCAAGTCAGTACCGTCGGAACTGCCTGAAATTTCAAACTGCATACCAGTTGATGTACTAGTACTGGCACTAGAAGTCGTTTCTGAAGACAAGGAAGTGAGACCTATCTGCTGCTCGTTGAACACCACATTGGCACTCTTGATTGTGTCATTCTTTGATGGTATGAAAACACGATAGCCATCATAATCACAATATCCAACCAAATATCCCTTTACAGCCTTGTCGTCCAGTTTACTTCTATTGGTATCCGGTACATGTACAAAAGCAGTTGATCCAAAAATTCGAAACTTGTCGATTTTCGGCTTGCGTCCGAACCATACTTCGAATGGAGATTTCCCTGTGATTTTACTTGGTCCAGTTCGATTAAGAATGTAGACAGCCGTCGATGCTGCTTCTGCCCATAAAAACTGCGGTAGGCCTGTATCTTTGAGCATAGTACGAACTGAGTCCATTATTGTGCGGTTTTCTCTCTCAACTGCACCATTTTGTTCTGGCGAGTACGGCATAGTGATTCTTAACTTGATGCCTTCATCATCAGTCAGTTTAGCCATCTTAGCATTTTCGAACTCACGACCGCCGTCTGTAACCAGTTCTTTCACATTTATGCCGTCTTTATTAGCCCGAGCAAGAAACGATTTAATCTTATCTACAGCTTCATCTTTATGTCTCAGAAATTCCACAATTCGAAATTTGGAATAATCATCTTTGATCACTAGCATGTACTTCTTTCCTCCTCTTGATAAAACTGGCGATTCGAGTAAATCTGCATGTATGATCTCACCTGACTCCTTCGTTTTAAATCGTTTTGATTTGAAAGTCCGTCGGCACTGTTTACCATACCTGCAAGGTTCACAAAAGAGTTCATCATCAGTGAAGTCTATACCATTTTGGCGCAAGTACTGTTTCACATATTGTACTCCCTGATGTGCGAATCTTCTGTGCCAAACTGATAATGGCAACTTTGTCGTTGTCACCATTGTTGTATCTTGGTAAGGTGTTGTTACGTCATCGTCGACTAGGTAAGCTGAAGCAGCAGAACCTCCTTCTGGCTTGACCGGTTTTGCACGTAATTCAAAAAGTCCACTAGATGAGCATGGAGCTTCTAAAAGTACATTTTCAGGGTTTTCTTTACGAAAGAAACGACAAACCATGTCATCTGAATCTCCGAAGTTTGAGATTCCTCGTTTCATCGCCTTTGAAGCTGATAGTAAATTTTTGCTGATATCTGGTGCATACAATACATCACTGAGCTCAATAGACTTTTGCAGGGTTCCAACAGTTGCGCACATGTCAATTTCTCCGCAGCCATACGCTGGTATTGTCTGTTTGTTACCAACTACGATTTCTACTGGCTTGTCAAAATGACGATACGTCTTGAAATATTCGGCTGAATTTGTGATGTGTGCTGTAGCTCCATCGTCTTTGAGCCACACATTTCGGCTACTGTCATTTTGGCAAATAAATGCACTACAATGAGTAGTAAGAAAAGTTTCGGTTTTATTACCTGGCATCTTTGGCTTGTCTGGAAAATCAGGACAAAATTTTCCCATGTGCCCTGGCTTATTGCACCTAAAGCAGTTGCCACGGAAGCTTTTCACACCATCATTGGCCTTACTAAGTTTCATACCTGTAGCTGTTGAAGGTTGAGATTTTCTCGCCATCTGATACTTTGTCCCCTTCCTCCATTTCTTCTCTCCGTTGGCACTGTACCTTGCACCGCTTGTAACAAAAGCTGTTGTAGCATCTTCCTTCATGCATACACTTTGTCTTTGAAGGCGCATCTTTATTTGTTCCATCAGTCTCTCGGATGACTTTTCGGCTTTTGGTAACGAGTCCCATTGTGACTTGAACTCTCTGTATTCGGCATCCGGAAGAATCGATAATATGCGCGGCATGAGCAGATTTTGAGGCAACTTTCCTTCGCCGCTCGCCTCCTGTTCCCGTTGCAACTCGACCCATAACGTACGCAAACGTGCGAGAGACTTCATTACGTCTTCATCCTTTTCTATTTTGAAAGTGAAAAATTGTTGAAGGAGAGTATCCAATTTTACACTCGACACTTTGTCGAAGTTGTTCAGCAACTCCTTCCATATTTCCTGTGCAGAGTTACCATGCATACGAATTAGATTTAAAATATCCGCCGATACATTTGATCGAATAATTATTGCGGCTTTTGCATTCGTCTTTGTGTAGGATACGAGCGCTTTGTTGTATTCGTTGACCGCTTCGGCACTGGAGTCTTTCACAGGTACCAACGGTTCTACAACTGAGCCATCCAAAATTCCAACACAATCATTTAGGACGAATAAAGAGATGATTTCTAATTTCCAGTCAGTCCAGCTGGACGCACCTTCCAACTTCGTGCACTGTATGAAGTTCTTTCCATCCATCGCCAAACTTTTAATCCACAAAAATGAGCAATCACTTCACCACTAACGTTAATGAAAAACGAAGTACTACTCACGATTTGGCAAACAAAAGTTCATACACGTCGTCAAAAACAACTATCCACGCAGTAAAACGTTGCTAATAGCCCATAACCTGTTGTAAATATTAGCAAAATAAAGGTGACAGCTATTTTAAATACTATTTAATATGAACTTAGAAATAAAAAAGGAAAAGAACGATTAGAAAACTAAACTCGGAATATACAAGAAGTAGAAGTTGCCAGATTACAAAAGTGCAACTCTACAAGATAAACAAAAATAGCGTGAGGCTCGCTGATAGCATGCTCGACTTATAACAGTCACGTATACCCTATTTCACTTTACTTAAATTTTGTCAAAAAGCCACCATGTATCATCAAATTTAAAAGCATTTAAACACTCGAATTTAAGTGTAATTCGAATTTAATAGTTAAGTCAATTTGAAAGAAAGGAGAAAGATATAGAACTTTGCAAGCAAAATTAAAAATTCTTTTTTAAGGGTTTTTACAGCCCTATTTTTAAACATCGGACACGTATACTCTATTTCACTATATTCAACTTAAACTTTTTAAGGCAAAAGATATCGCGTTAAAAATTATAGAAATTTACAAAAGTATAACTTAACGAGCAAAAATTGTGTTGTTTTATTTTATTTATGTTAGTAAAACGTTATCTTAATGTCTTAATAAAACAATAATTTCTTACCTCTTGGGTGGCGTTTACTTCAGCGCCACTTTTAAGAAGTAATTCAGCACATTTTTCTCCTCCTGGTGTTCTGGCAGCTATATGAAGTGGAGTTTCACCACTCTGAAAAATATATATCAGTCAATCACATTTTCGTATGATTCCGGCAAAAATTGCTTCCTTATTATTCTTATGTAACAGCAGCTGCTTCTTTTTAAATCGATTAAAATAAAGAATTTAGAAAGAAGGTATATATTTAGGTACAAAAGAAATCTTAAATAACTTTTGTTCTAATGACTGGAATTTCATGCACTAGAATGTAATCTTAAGGTTTGAGGGTCACTCTTTGAAGTACTAATAAACCAGAAGATAGGAAAGTCTAAATTGAGAAAACCAAACAACAGATTACCCTCTCCGAGTAAATGTACAGTACTCAAAATAAAAAACCGAACCACCATGACTAACTTTTAAATCTTATGATCCGATCTGCTAATCTTATGAAATGAAATCAGACTCAATTAAAATGCCTTTTTCCGACGGTTTTGGTTTTCTCATTCCCAAAACATAGAGGGTAACAGCAATCCGGTAAAAACTGTCCAAATAGTTTTATCAGGAGAGCAGTCCAAAGTTTATTAAAATACAGAAGCTTATTAATATAAGTTTATTAATAGTTAATTATTAAAATCTTTAAAAACTAATTCCTCTTTTTAAAGTTGAAATTCTTGTCAATAATTGGTTATCAAAATAAATAAATTTAAATTTAAATAAAGGACGTACAATAATTATGCTTTATGGAAACGAAACAATAATTATGTTTTTAAAAAACAACTAAAAATTCACAACTTTGTCAAGCACTTTGCTCAATGCGCAATTTGTTTCAACTTTTTGCAGTCCATGCAAAAGGAAATGAGGACTTTCCTTGTCACTGAGTAAAAAAAAGAAGAAAAAAAAATTATATATATATGAATATNATATATATACATATATATATATATATATATATATTATAATAAAGAAGAAATATAAAAAGAGACAAATAAAAAAGAAGACAAATATAAAAAAGAGAATTTTACTTTTCCTGCTTTAAGCCTTATTTGGGCACCATATCCTAAAAGAGTTTCAACAACTCTCGGTTGGCATGCTTGGACAGCAATATGGAGGGCTGTCTGACCATCCTGAAAGAGATAAAAACATTTATCATATATTTTTTTTTCAAAAAATATCTTGCTAAAATTGACTCAATTTACAGGAGGTGTTGCAAATTATTGTTGAAGACTTACATTAGTTTTGATGTCCACACTTTCTCCTTTATTTAGAAGAGATCTCACTACCTCAACGTGGCCAGCTGCAGCAGCTATGTGTAGACATTTGGCCCCTGACTGAAAAAGAGAAAATAGGGTGATATAGCTTGAAATATACAATCTCATTGAAAAATTAAAAATCGAAAAAAAGTGTGCAGATAAGCTTGAAAGAAAGGGGTTTATTTTATTCCACAATAAAACAAAGTAATAGACTGATGTAGTAGTACTTATAAAGTAGACTGATGCTAATTAATAATCAATCTATAAAAATTGCGTTATAATTATTTAACATTTATTTTTTTACATGAAATTGTAAATAACCTCAACTTTATTTTTTACATTTTATAGTGAGTTGCTGAAGCAAAATCATAAAAGTATTTTTCGTCCAAGGTACTAAAAATATTTCGCTTCTATTTAATAAAAACAAAATGTATTTTAAGATATGATTTACTGCTTATTCTTTCACTACTGATTCAATTAATCTTTCGAAACATATGTTTTGCTTTTAAATAAAGCATTTTGATTACCTTCATACCATAAATACAAAATATGTATACAATATTTACATGTGTAAAGCATTTACCTTTTACAATAAAGCGTTTCTTGTCACTTTAGATTATATGGTAATGCTGAAAATTTACAAAATTGCCAATTAATAAAAAAACTATAACGCATTGTTTTAGGTTGCATGCTAAATACTTGTCAATTTTTTAAAATTTTATTTATTTATATATTTGATTTTTTTCATCGCAAAAGTTGGTTATTTTAGAAACTTTGCTTTAGAGTTTCTCAACGTCACCAACACCATCCGTTGATAAGATTTATAACTAATTTTGAGACTTGGTGAGAATAATATTTTGTTTTCCTAAATAGCACTCAAGAAAACGCATACTTTTAATCATTTTTTGTTTTTCTTTTACCTATTTTCTTTGGCTTCAAATAATAACAATAAAAGTAAGTACGATTCTTTAAGGTTTAAATTTTCAAAATACTTAATAAGAGTAAACAGATGTATAAATTTGAAAAGATAGAACTTAAATAAAATAGAAAAGTGTAATTTTAAAAAAATAGAAAATTAGCCTGTATGAAACGTTACACTACATACAAAAATACTGTTTAAGAAATTTTACTTCTTCAAATAAATTCTATCATTTACTTACGAAAATGAATGTCGAATAAATGACTGAATGGTATTAAAAAGTGATTCTTAACATAAAAAATATAGTTATTATAAGTATTCAACTTATCTAAACACTAGAAAATTAGTTGTGAAAAATATATAATTAAATATTTTGGCAAACATTTGTGAACCGGAGTACCAGCACTACATGCAAACCCTTACATGACATATAAAAATACTGTATAAGAAATTTTACTTCTTCAAATAAATGTTATCATTTACTTACGATAGTGAATGTCGAATAAATGACTGAATGGTATTATAAAAGTGATTCGTAACATAAAATATAGATTCAATATAAGTATTCAACTTATCTAAACACTAGAGATGTAATTATTAAATATTTTTGTAGTAGGTAACAAAACTAATAAGAAATAATTATTAAAAATATATAATTAAATATTTTGGCAAACATTTGTGAACCGGAGTACCAGCACTACATGCAAACCCTTACATGACATATAAAAATACTGTATAAGAAATTTTACTTCTTCAAATAAATGTTATCATTTATTTACGATAGTGAATGTCGAATAAATGACTGAATGGTATTAAAAAAGTGATTCTTAACATAAAAAATATAGTTATTATAAGTATTCAACTTATCTAAACACTAGAAAATTAGTTGTGAAAAATATATAATTAAATATTTTGGCAAACATTTGTGAACCGGAGTACCAGCACTACATGCAAACCCTTACATGACATATAAAAATACTGTATAAGAAATTTTACTTCTTCAAATAAATGTTATCATTTACTTACGATAGTGAATGTCGAATAAATGACTGAATGGTATTAAAAAAGTGATTCCTTACATAAATATATTCAATATAAGTATTACACTTATCTAAACACTAGGGATGTAATTATTAAATATTTTTGAAGTAGGTAAGAAAACTTAAAAATTAACTCTTAAAAATATATTATTAAATATTTCGGCAAACGTTTGTAAACCAGAGTACCTGTGCCAACTGAGTCATCCTTGCCAGTTTGTAAAGGTCTAAATTTTGACACTCTTACAAATCCATGACCAAAGAATGAAAAGACATTGATCTGAGATATTACAAAATGATCGTGTTGGTTTATAACTAATTTAAATATAATATTGTTAAAAAAACAAACCAGAGGCTGGATAACTTTAGTGGCGAGTGTAGAAAATAAAGTTTCTCCGGAATCATTCCAAGTGTCTGATTCTTCAATTTCTACTTCATCACGCAAAACTTCGACGAAATCAAAATCAGGATACAAAGGACAGAAATTCAAATCGATTTCTTGTTCTTCTAAGCTCTCCATTCTGTAGCTTCTTTAATTTGATCACAGTTCCCAATTTCTTACAAATGACTTAAAATTTATTCCAAGATTTGGAGTATATAAGTTGTCCAACGAACAATAAAATATTTCCCAGCAGAAGTAATCTTTCCACGAAAAATTCGGTAAATTTTACAACGTAAAATAATGATATCTGTTTCGATATAAGTGTTCTTTCTTTGGAAAAGTTTTATAACTTATAAGTTTTCTAACAAAAAATATTGATATCTGTTTCTGCATAAGAGATATTTCAATGGGAAGTTTTGTAGCTTATAAGTTTTCCAACAGAAAATATTGATGCCTGGTTATATACATGTCATTTTATGACAGAAAATCTTATAACTTATAAGTTTTCGAACAAAAAATTATGACATCTGTTTCGGAGGAAGTGATCGTTCCACGAGAAATTTTGATGTGGCTATACAATATGGAAAACGTATTATTCTAGACATTATTCATGAGGATATATTTCTCGTTAGATAAATCGAATTATAAGACCTCATTAGGCATTTATGCATTATCATTAGGTATTTATAGTATATTTAGTGAGTTATTATTATCTTAACAAAATGAGTTCCTTCTTATTGAGCTTGGCTAATGAAAAAACTCATTGTGGTAATGTACCAAAATAAAACTTTTTTAGTAATTGTTATTCGAAGCATGGAACCATTTAGACGTTTCCCTAGCTTTTTTGTTCCAGAGTTCCTCAAACTTAGGTGAAGTGGTGGAATGATGTTCGATCATTCTCGAATTTAGTCATAATCACAGATGCTTACAACATTAAGCTACAAGTACTTAACAATTCTTCCCAAAGCGTAGAAAGTATTATTTTTTCTTTAAATAAAATGTTTTGTTTAGTTATAACATTATAATTTAATTTTTAAATGGTAATTGTTAAATGAATTAGCATTGTTTCACTTACAAATTTATATTCAGAAAAAAAAATATTATATAAAAAAATATTCTAATAATTCCGGCAGACATACGCAAAATAACTTATTCCGAATAAACTTTAGTTTTTAACTGAAGGATATAAATTGTTTTTTTATGGTATTGACTTTTCAAAAATAGTCAATTTAAGGGCACTTAAGAAGACTATTAAAGAGATTTTAAAGTATAGAAAAGAACGAGATTGTTTGAGTAAGTTGTTCTATAATTAGTAAATCATCGAAATCATTTTTAAATTTTCAGTTTTTTTAATTTACAATTTGGCGGTTCAAGACCTAAAAAGTAAAAAGTTCTAGTCAAAATACCAAGTCAAAACTACTCCAGTTGGAAAATTGGATCTAGTTTATGGTACAATGTATTGGTAGCTTCATGTTATATAATAAATTTACATTATATAATAAATTTACATTATATAATAAATTTACATTACATAATAAATTTACATTATATAATAAATTTACATTATATAATAAATTTACATTATATAATAAATATACATTATTCAATGAATTATCAGCTAATACATAGTGTACAATAAATACTTATCCTCGAAAGCATGCTGTATCGTAAACTTTCCTAATGCATAAAATATAATAAATGCTGAACAAATGTATAATAAAGTATCAATTAATAATATAGAAAAATAAATATTGTTGAGTGCATGTTACATATTAAATTCTCAACTCTAATGCTTAATATATTATTACATCTTATCATTAGTATCCAGTAAAAGAACACTTTTAAACTTAAATAAAATAATAAATTTAAAGAAAAGCAAACTTTTTATTTTTACTGTTCACAAAAAAAAACAAATTCTCTGCTTCAATAAATGTTAGTAGTATCCAGTAAAAGAACGCTTTTAAATTTAAATAAAATAATAAATTTAAAGAAAAGCAAACTCTTTATTTATGATCTACTGTTCACAAGAAACAACAACAAATTCTCTGCTTCAATAAATGTTTTTTTCTTCAAAAATAGAACTAAATCGAATCAATTTAATAACTAACTGCTACATCAATACGATCTGCATCATACGATCTATCATTATACGATATAATGCTCAACTAATGCGAAATGTACAATAAATTTTCAATGTAACATAATGTAAATAAATATCCTCTAATAAATATTGCAACTAATGTATAAGGTATAATAAATGCACATCTAATGCAGAATGAAGTAAATTTCTTAATTGTTACATAATGTATAATAAATTCTCAACTAATGCAAAATATATCCTAAATTCTCAACTGTTACATAATTGTATAATAAATTCTCAACTAATACGAAATGTATTATAACTAGTTAACTGTTACATATTGTATAATAAATCAATGTCCTCTAACACACGTCGTAGAAAAAATCGGAACTAATGCTTAATGTATAATAAATGCACAGTTAGTGTACAATGTATTTTAAATTTTAACTGTTACATAATGTAGTAAAAATATCCCCCTTCGCATTATTTCTGAGCCGCCAGTACGCAGGTTAATATTTGTATTAGAATTAATACAAATTTTACTTATATTTAAATGGGTTTATGCTCAAAATATTTTTTATTGTCGAGGGTATGTGAATGGTCTGAAACAAACTGGTCAAGAAATTTTAATTCCCAAAGTTTTCAAATGTAAAAATTGCGTCAGCAATTCGAAGTACTAACTTTACCGGTCTAAGATAAAACACCTTTCGAGTAAATCGGAAAGAGAAACACTGCTTTCATGCAAGTTGTAAAAGAAAAATCGTAATTGATGCATTTTGTATGAAAAAAAAATATATATAAATAAATTCTCAACTAATATATAATGTCCAGTAAATAAATGTTTTAAAATATGTGATGTAAAATAAACTCTTTACTAATTTATAATGAAAAATAAATTTTTATTAATGCATGATGTACAGGAAATATTTTTGCTTTTTATGCGTATTGTAAAAATGAATTCTCAAAAAGTGCATTTAAATTTTCTCATTATTTCAAAAACTATCTATAAATATTTTTTTTTAAAAAATCTAAGATCCTTGTTTAAGATCTTGAGAAAATTTACTAAATTATGGCAATATTCGTATGTTTCTACAATGTCTCTATTATAACATATACAATGCTCATTTTTTCAGAACTAAGCGGAATTGAAAAATATGTACCTTGTTTGATGTGTGTATGGGAACTCCTCTTTTCATGAAAATCATAGCTATGTCCGGATATCCCGCGGAGGAAGCAATATGCATCAGCGTGCTGCCATCCTATTTTAGAAAAAAAGAAGAGAAATTATAATTAATTATACTTTAGTTTGTATCATATGCACTTTGAAAACAATAATTCGTTTTCGGACGAGCCACGTAGGCTCAGGATAAAGAGAGATTGCCTCCTAATAAGATTCGAATACCAGCGATGGTTGGCGAATCTGAATTCCGCTCCCGGCTAACACCGACCACAGTGATGTTGTAAATACAACATCATGTAATACACTTAGAGATAGACGGATCATGCAATCGAGCTAACAATGGAAAGCCTTTGTGATTCTCAGCTCCGTGCAATTCAAATGCTGATTAGTACCCTCAAAAAGTTGTTTAGCAGGTTTAATTTGTTCCTATGCTTAATTCAGGAGTTCCCTTGACTTCTGGGTTGGGTTCAACATTGCAAAGCCACGGAGTTGAGCTATGATAGTCGTAAACCAAAAAGTCGATCGGCTGTTCAGCACCGATTAGAAAATATAAAATAATAAATTCACTCTCAAAAGATGCTATAAAACAGAACACAAATATTACACACGAAAAAAATATTATTAATATATACACTAAGTATTCAATTAAGACAGCCCTCAATATGCATGTTCAGAATTCTTATGTAAGAGGAAGATTATAAAGTATACACACAGGGGGGGGGAATTAATAATTAAAACAAGATTTAAAAAAAACTAAATTGAAATCTAAGTAATTACTACTGTAGAAGGCGGTTTTACAGAACATTAAAACTTGTTTGATTGCGAGAGGAAAGAGAAAAGAAAGAATTAGAAGAATTAGAAGTGTGTGTTCATTCACTAATATAAATGATGACTATTCTCTAATATAAACCAAATGACTAATTCACCGATTCTCGGATTCGCTAGCATGATCAACCACTAATTCGTTTAATATATTCTTTTGCTATTTTCTTCTCTGATTCACTTCTCCCTAATACTTAATGGAAGAAAGCGATCCTTCATTCATTATTTATATAATGATTCTTGATTACGCATTTAAGAATCAGTTCCAATTAGAGTTTTCTTTAGTGACGTGAGCCTATAACAACATACTTTCAATATTAAAATTAAAAAACATAAACTTAAAATTTATAAAAAAGGAACGGCTATCATAGTAATGGAAAATCTTAAATCAATCAGGACATATATGACTTGGACTACAAACTAAATTTTCGCATTTCAAATTACCATAAAGCTCAATCATTTATGTCAGCTTAGTTACATCAATGTGGCTCAGTTGTACAAACAATATTAATTATTTCCAAAAGAGAAATATGGATCTTGGATTAGTTACAAACCTTTGTCCTTTGTGAAATGGAAGCCTTGAATTTGTCGAGAAGGATTTCCACGGCACTCGTGTGACCCCTCTCTGCGGCCAAGTGGACAGGTGCTCGGTCTCTCCTGTCCAGAATGTTAGCTCTGGCATTGGCTTGACTTAGCACCTTCAACATCCCTTCATCACCTTCCATGGCCGCTATGTGCAATGGGGTCATTCCTTCGCTCTAAAAAGGGAAAAAAATTCTTAACTTAAACGGCATTCACACAAAATACAATATAACGGCATAACATTTATGCAAATGTTTTTAACCACAAAAGTAAACTTAAAAATGCTTCAACAATTCAAATTAGAATACGCGAAGCAGTTATTTAGCACTTATCCATCCAGCCTAATTTGCACTGCTATGCCCAAATGCCCTCCATTTTTTCATTATCAATTATTTACTGCAATGTACAAGAATTACGAATTTTCTCGTTTGGCTGCTAGTGATAGACGGTGAAATGACAAATACTCGTTATGCGGATGGACACGTGTTAAGAGTAAGGTGACCATGCGCAGGGCCCGACTTAGCCTGACTGGGACCCGGGGCAAAAACTTCTTCTTAAGGCCCCCTCTGCTTCACTAATTCAGTAATGAAGGTATTTACTATGGAGGAATTTAAAGGTATTTAAATTTTTTGCCTCAATATAGATAACAAGAAAATTGACTGGAACCTAAAATAGCTATGAAGTCCCACCTCCTCCAATGGTCAGACAAAATATCATTTTGTCCATTTTGTTGATTTTCTAATAATTCTATGCCCATCAAGCCGAATGCAGTTTTCTGGTTGTTAACTTTGTCATCTAGCAGCGAAAAATTCATATCCTTGCTGACATTAGGTCTAAATTTACGCAATTACGATGGCTCAATTAAGCCAATCAGAAGCCTGTATTTTTGTAAACATATCGCGCTTTGCAAAGTGCGAAAATACAAACTTTTGTTTGGCCAACTTGTCCATCGTAATTGCGAAAATTTAGCTGAATTCCGCCTTAGAAAGCCATGGATTTACGAAATAGAGATTGCGTTCATACGATAGATTACTGAAGAAGCTAACATAAAACTGACGGATTTTACCCTGTATTGATATTTTGCTCAAAAAACTTTTTATTCTATTTGGAGGAGCCCTCTAATGCGGGAGCCCGGGACAACAGCCTCGTATGCCCCTGCCTTAGTCAGGCTCTGAAGGCGTCTTCAAATTTCGAGCATAGTCCTCGAATTTCAATAGTTCTCATTAAACTTTTTGAAGACAGAAAATGTCTCCAAATCATAATATATGTTCGGAAATGTCTTTGAATTCTCCGAAAACATCTTATAATTAATTTTGATCCCTAGTTTCTCATATGATTATCTTCAGTCAAATATCAAAAAAAAAAGAAGAAAAAATTAGAAATGTGCATGATTGTCTTACAGAGAATATTATCTAAAATCAAAAAATTACCACGCTAAAGCTAACATATGTAAACTCTTTACTCGCCCAAACATAATTTCAGCATGAACTGCTTAGTAATGTTAACAAGCTTGATGAAAATGATTCTGCCTCGGTTATTAATTTTTTCTTTTTTTAAAAAGGAAGCTATGTTGCATAGAAATATTTTTGCGTTAGTTAAGAGATGAAAATATAAAAACGCTATATCTAAAACTTAAGAATATGTGATTGAAAACTTAAGAGCAAGTTTGATTGCCACGTAACTTGCAAGTGTTATTAATTACCGTCTTACAATTTGTCTCTGTTTTCTTTGGCAATTTAACAGGTTTTACAGATTGAAGTTCCGCTATTCTCAGTCGTTGAGCGTTGCATTTTACTTGGGTTCTTATTCCTCCCAGTTCAATTGTTAATTTTCGACACTGGGTATTTTTTTAAATTAGAAACTGGGATAGCCCGGTAGGTAAGGTGTTGTGTGCATGTCCAAGAAATCGTGAGTTCGATCCCCATCGGCCGAAGTCTCTCCATGTAATAAATGGTGACTGGTGTACGCTAAATGTGTCTGGTCTCAAAGTCCTTCATGTAACCATAACAAATCATACCTCAGGGAGTACTGAATTGGGGATTGATCGTTCTCTGGTTCAGGTCAAAATTGTGATCTGTGGATGAATAAATGCGGATGTAGGAATGGGTCCACCCTATTGGCGGGTTGTGACGTGTGTGGGGCTGAAGTCGTATTCTTGGCCACAGATCACGCCACTCAAAAACAAGAAATGCACCATCTGCTTTAAATTCGCTTGGTTTCATCAAACAGGCTTGTATTGGCAAGTGATATTACAAGTAGAAACAACAGCAACAACAAAAGTTTTTCAACTTCAATTTTGACAAGGATTATAAAAATATATGAAAAAGATGGTCACTAGTGGCACACCCTGTATACTTAGTATAAAGTACTCACGTTCTGTAGGTTGACGGCAGCTCCCTTCTCGATGAGTAACCTCATGAGATCGATGTCCCTCCGCCTAGATGCCACGTGGAGTGGAGTATCTCGGATGTCCTGCTTCCTCACGGATAACTGCTCTTTGGGGTCAATCATCAATAACTCTCGGCATATACCATGATTACCCACTTCAACAGCCAGCATCAGAGGAATGTTACCCGTCTGTGGAAATAAAATTTGTCGTAAAATAACATTCAATAACAAAATAGAAGGGCCACACTTTCATATTGTTCATGCGAGGTGTTTTCAAAGAAAAATGCTTCCTTGGGTATCAACTTGGAACCTAGTAAATTCTCAACACTGTTAAAAGTGTTATCTGGAAACCTAAGGAATAGGTTGATACGACAGTATTATCCTTGAAAAAATTGTGGCTTTCACTGCATTGTCTGTAGCCTTTCAATTTTAATATCTTATTTGAAAAGTTGTAAGAGAATAACAATTTTTTGATGTATGGATGCGGGGAAAATGACCAATGATTAAAAAAAATGAGTTAAAGAAAAAGGGTAATGCAAATGTTCAGTTTGCTACAGTCTGCTTAAGAGAACAGACGTTTATTGTAACTAAATTTCAAATTTAGTTACAATGCTGGTCAACAGATGACTCTGCTGACAAGAAAAACTATGAAACAATGTTTTCTGCAGAATCCCAGACGATTCCTACTCATATATTTGTACAGGCGTCCATTAGATTTTTTTCTACTACTGCTCTAAGTAGTTGCAATAAATGATGATAATTTTGATTTCAGATGCGAAATGCGGTAAACCATTCATTACAATCTCCTTTTGTTTTCCTTTAATGAAATTTTCAGAACGATGGTCACTTTTAGTGCATACGTTAGAAAACACAATCAATTTAGAAAAGAAATACATAATTATCAAATATAAAAGAGTCTAAAAAAGTTTTTTCTTCAAGTCATAAAAAGAAGCTCTTTACTTCGATCTTGAGGGTAAAATATAAACCATATACTGACCTTGTCTTTAACGAGGCGGGCATCTTTACCCGTGGCTTTGAGCAATAATTGGAGAGGAGTTAAGGCTTGCCCAGTTGGTCTGGCACACACAATATGAAGAGGCAGTTGCCCCTTGGGCTGAAGAAGAAAGAAATAAAATTTACCAAAAATAAATTAATTAAATAGTTAGCTGATCATAAACCTAATATCAAACTGATTAGTTAAAAACAAACAAATGTGCATATTTCGTGAGCAATATATGCCTTAAAACAACAGTACATAAGAGCATTTATACAATTAGGAAACAAAACATTCTATTCATGTCAACATTTATTTTAGCTCATTAACACACCTTTTTGTTTCAAAAGCCTTTAATAGTTTTTCCAATCGGCCAACTCACTATAGGGTTAAGGTTAGTTTTTAATATTATTCTAACAGCTTGGAGATCTAAAAACATTTTTAAAAAATTCTAAAAAGATTTTTTTTCTGCCATTTTATGAACACTTAAGAACTGAATTCAATGACACTTCTAGAGAAATTTGGCTGAGATACACGATACACTAGTGGTAAGTTTGTTAAGATTTTTGTCCTCGAAAGGTTTCAGCGTCTTACCACTAAACTGTACTAGCACTTCTTACAGTACTCATCACCATTATAGTTAGTCAGACAGCCCAATGTGGGCCAATATCTTCCTTTGAAGATTTTTCCATACCGACTTCCGATTTATCCTTGATCTCCAATTCTTTTCACTAATTGCAAGAAAATCAGGCTGCACCGAGTCAGCCCATCTCAACCGCTGCCTTTCCCGCTTTCTTGTTCCAGTAGATCTGAAAAGCAGTATCTTTTATATTGTACTGCCATCCCTCATTCGAATCACGTGGGCCATCCAATTCCTTATATTATTAACATGCTAAAAAATAATCAAATAACAACAATCTAAACATCTTTTGGGGTTTGCTGTTAATGAAAATCACTTAACGCATCCAAATTTTCTTTCACCAGTCGATCAATGATAAGTGTTTTGGCATTTTGTTACTTTCGCAGCCTGATTTTTCAAAAACCATATGACTGACACGACAACATCTCACGGAAGTGCTAGAAACATAAAATTGATACTAATTTATAACCTAAATGGTTGTACTTATTGACATGTCAATTATTTGTTGTGTAAAAATTTTCCACGCTTATCGCTTGTCATTTTATGGTCATTATTTATGACTGATCTTTAAGAAATATGCTGCATAATAATGACCAACAGAAAATAGACGAAATTCATAAGGAGATCATAAGGATAATTTTGGTAAATAAATTCGAATCTGTTACTGAAATATTTTTATCAAGCACTAATTTTGAAGGTTTAGTCTATTTAATTCGATAATTTTAGATAATTAATGAAATAAAATAAAGATCATAGGTAAAGGTAAAATAAAGATAAATTAAAGATAAAAGGTAAAAAGATATTTTGCGAATGAAAATTAATGGAATAGTAATAATATTTGTTGTGAGTAATATCGACAAAAATACAAAGTTTTTACATGTACGGAATGCTGGTTTGAATTTTAGTATGTAAAAATTATTTTAGTTAATCCATTTAAAAATCAAATCTTAAAGCGATAATTAAATTTCTGAAGCGATTTAATATAAAATGCAATCGCAATTTTTTTAATGATTATACTAATGAACTACAATACAAAATGCAACTGCAATTTATTTTGTATTGACTGTAATGGTTTATAATATAAAATTCAATCACAACTCATTTTTTTATTGACTGTAATGATTTATAATAAAAAATGCAACCACAACTCATTTTTTTCCGACTGTGATGATTTATAATGCAAAATTCAAACATAATTTTATTTATTGACTGTAATGATTTATAATATAAAATTCAACCACGACTTATTTTTTTACAGATTGTAATGATTTATAATGTAAAATACAATCACAGCTTCTTTTAATTGACTGTAATGATTTATAAGAAAAAATGCTACCACAACTCTTTTTTTTTTGATCGAATGTTTAGATTTATAATGCAAACTTTAAACACAACTCATTGTTTTAATCGACTGAAATGATTTATAATACAAAATTCAGCCACAACTCATTTTTTATTGATATTAATGATTTATAGCAAGGGTTTCCAACTTTAATGAGGCCGGAGGCCACAATTAAAATCACAAATCAAATGGCGGGCCGCAACTTTATCAACATTTTATGTAGGACTCTTACTTGTTTGAAGGAACATTAAATATTGCTGTCAGATTTTTACCAAGTTGTACAAAACTAAAGTATTGAATTACAAATTAAAATGAGAAGTAAATTTTTAAAAATATTTAATTGCATAGTAAAAAATTCGGGCTACAATAACTTTAATGTGCATCTATGTTTTAAACAATTAATGTGCAACAGATATCTAATTGTTAAGATATAAAACTTTAAAAAGGATGGTATTAGAACTTACATAGTAGCACACAAAATGTTCAATGCGAAAATTAACGTTTGTCTACTGCAACCACCAGAGAATAGATATTTACATTTTAAATTTAAAATTTACAAATGTGTGTGTAAATATTTTCGTCCAAAATGAGTGGTTTCAAAAAGTCAAATCGGAGAATTTCTCCAATAAAATTTCTGATACGCACATGCTAAATTATATTCACAAAATACAAAAAAATGAAATAAAAAAAAAGTAACATACACGATTATTTTTGTATTTGAATAAATATTTTCTTGGATACAAAACCTGAGAAATAAATATTTTTGTACCGTTGGTATGTTAAATTTCTCAGAAACGAAGAAATTAGGTTTTTATTAACGAGAAAAGTATTTTAAACCCATATAGATTTTTTACGAAAATTGTCCGCAAAAAAATGACAACTAATATATTTTAGTTCACGGGCCATAATGAAAGGCATCGCGGGCCGCCAGTAGGAAATCACTGATTTATAGTATAAAATGCAACCACAACTCATTTTGTTTATCGACTGTAATGATTTATGATGCAAAATTCAATCACAACTTGTTCTTTTTTTGCTTATTCAAAACATTTCTACAATCAGAATTTCTCTCTTTTATTCGAAGAATATTTAAATTTTAACTACAAATATCTCCTAGCACTAGCAAAGAGTTATTTTATGTTGCTATCATTTGTAATTACAAAAGTTTAAAATCTAAATAAGAAAAATTCGATGTACTGAAACTAAATTCAATTTAACATTGAATTTAGCTTCAGTAATTGTTAATTTTAATTAATTCACATACCTTTTAACTACACTCATGTTTGGACCAAACTGAAGTCTTCCAGACTGCATGGATTTTTGTGTCTAACTAACTTGTCTAGTATTTAAAAAAAGATAGGGAAAAATTTTTTTGGCAGGGGTTTCTATCCTTGGATTGACCTTTCCTTTCAATGACCAATAAAGTTGAGAAATTCTTAGCTCCGATGGCACCTTTTTCCGGCTGCTCAGAAATCGGAGCTATTTTATTATTTGAAATGGGCGTTTACTACTTTAATGATCACTTCTTGGTGCGTGAGGGTTCTTTTTCTTTCTTTTAGGGCAACCAGAAAGACAAAATGATGACAAACTTTATTCTAGTTCTAATAGAACAAATATATCACGCAATTATTGTATTGAGTCGCTCTCGATTTATAAATCAGATTATATTTAAGAAGGAAGCTGTACTGCAGAAGATAGTTAGCTTTGCTAATTCTGTGTCACCACCATCGGTATTTTAAAGTTTAGAGAAAAGTGAGCTCAGGTTAACATAGAATAAATCACTCAGTTTCAAATGCTTAAAAAGTGCTTTCAAAATATCAGAATGCGGGTTAATTATTGACTTATTATTTTCTTCCTGCGCAATCCTAAATGATCTCGGATTGGAACGCTAAATAATGGAATCGCAATCCAATATTTATCCAATCATCAACTCTATCTAATTGAATCCTAAGTAACCCTGGCTAACTCAATGTTAACCTGAGTTCACTTCCTTAAGTATTCTTGGATTTGAATCCTAAATAATTGAATGGTTATCCAATATTTGTCCAAACTTTGATCCAATCTAATTGAATCCCTAAGTAATCCTAATTTACTCTACGTTTACCTAAACTCACATCCTTAAGTAATCTAGAATTTGAATCCTAAATAATTGAACGGTTATCTAATATTTGTCCAAACTTTGATCCAATCTAATAGAATCCTAAGTACTTTCTCTACGTTTACCTGAATTCACTTCCTTAAGTAATCTTGGATTTGAATCCTAAATAATTGAATGGTTATCCAATATTTGTCCCAGTTTTGATCCAATTTAATTGAATCCCTAAGTAACACTGGTTAACTCTATGTTAACCAAAGTTCACTTCCTTAAGCAATCTTGGATTTGAATCCTAAATAATTGAATTGTTATCCATTAATTATCCAATCCTCAATACAGTCTGATTGAATCCTAAGTAATGATGGTTTACTCTCCGTTTACTAAACCCAATTCTCTCTAAACTTAAAATTTTGAATTACTAACAGAGAATCAGAATTTAACTTGTAAGTTTTCACTCCCGATATAACGTCCTTTTAAGACTGATTTCGAAAAGTTTTAATTAGCTAGCGATTTTTAGAAGACTCTCTATATTTTATTGATAAACATCTAGTACTAGAGAGAAAAAGCGTTAGTTACGAAATTTTAAAGAGACATTACGAAAGGAAAAGAAATTTAAAGAAATTTTATTCAAAAAATTGAAGAGATTCCCATTTTTATCTCGGATAACACTATGGACTAAATTATTTTACGAATCCAACAGCCTCTGCCGGAACTTGAATTTGGGTTGCCTCAAGTGCTTGATCCCTTAAGCCAGAGTGTGACCAAAACCATGGTACTCGGAATGCATGCGGCACGCCGAATAAAATTTTGACACTCATGGTTTTAGACAGAGACAGATTCAAATATAAATGAAGTCAGAAAATTCAAAATTTTTATTATTTTATTTTGAATTAATAACAATATTAAAAGAAGGAAAATGGGACATAAAAGGAAAAACATGGATAAAATGAGTAGAAATAGTACCAAAAAAAACGTAATTAATTAAAGGTGAGTAATGAGGTAGAGATAGTTTAAGAATAGATTCTTTTAACCAGATAAAATAA